GCAGACGGAGTGAAGTTTGCGGAGCCGTCGGGGTCTCCGATGTGCCTTTGTTCCGGGTGGGTGGTCCGCACATGCCCACAAGCCGCATGTCCCCCCGCGGGAAGTCCCGACTCCCTTGTGCGCTGAGTGCACGCGAAGCTGTCAGGCCGCCAAAAGCATTGCATGACAGAGCGCGGTTCTGCGTGAGTGGGCCCAAGCTCAAGGCCATGGGAATGCTGCTAAGTCACAGCTGCCTGGACGGACCCCGTTTCCCCTACAACATGCTTCTCAGAGAAAGGCCTTTCCCACGCTGTCCCCGCACCGGGCTCCTATTCACCCCTCAGAGCCCCGTGTGGCTTCTGCTGCCCACTGGGTGAGCCCTCGCCACATGACCCCGTCCCCGAGCGGGTGAGGACCGGGCCGCCTGGCCTCCGAGCCCACGGCCTAGCCCGAGGGTCACACGGAGCTGGGGCAGCTGAGTAGCCATAACTCCAGGAGAGGAGGGGGGCCTCGGGCAGCCACCAGGACAGCCCGCCTCTCACCCTCCAGGACTGGGCTTGATGAGCCCCGGGGTTTTCGTGGTCTCCACGCCACCCTCAAGGTCCCGGGAATCTCACTGTCACAACGACAGAGGACATGTGGTCAGGGGCTTCCGGGGGCCCACGTGGAGAGGTCTTGCCAGGGAGGTGACCAGGACGCTGGCACAGCCTCTGCTCAGAGGGAGTGGGCTGGGACAGGGGGAGGATCTGGAGAGGACAGCAGGGTGATGGGGGCGGAGTCTGGGCAGGCTCCGCCCTCCGGGGGGTCCTCCAGCTGCACCAGAGCCGGGGCCTGGACACCCAGCCTCAGAGGGTGGGCTTGTGGTCCCAGCCAGGCGCAGCCTCAGTTTCCCCTCTGCACTGGTGGGAGGTGGGCACCGCAGGCCCTCTGAAGCCTCCACCTGGCTCTCCCTTAGCCAGGGCGCAGAGGGTGCAGAGGGTGGTTGGGCCGGCAGAGGGGAAGAGGTTCCGGGGTCCCAGTGCCCACATCACAGAGGGCACCAGAAGGAGAGGCCCTGGAATGTGGGCTCCACCGCCCCCCCACCCCCGGGAAAGATGGGGAGGAGGAGCCCCATGGAGCTTCAGAGAGGCATGGAGCCCTCTGGGGGCACTCCCCCTCCTGTCCTGCCTGGGGGTCCGAGCTGAGGGACGTGGCAGTGTCACAGCCAGCAGTGGCTCCGGCCGCTTCCGCTGGCCTCTTTCCGTCACTGCTGAGTCCGGCCCAGACCAAGGCCTGGCCTGAGAAGACACCTGCTGAGTGGGCAGACGAGCCAATGAGGGAACGAGTGGGTGAGTGAGTGGGTGAGTGAGTGGGTGAGTGGGTGAGTGAGTGAGTGAGTGGGTGAGTGAGTGGGCGAGTGAGTGGGTGAGTGGGTGAGTGAGTGGGTGAGTGAGTGAGTGAGTGGGTGAGTGAGTGGGTGGGTGAGTGAGTGGGTGAGTGGGTGAGTGAGTGGGCGAGTGAGTGGGTGAGTGAGTGGGTGAGTGAGTGGGTGAGTGGGTGAGTGAGTGGGCGAGTGAGTGGGTGAGTGGGTGAGTGAGTGGGTGAGTGAGTGAGTGAGTGGGTGAGTGAGTGGGTGGGTGAGTGAGTGAGTGAGTGAGTGAGTGGGTGAGTGAGTGAGTGAGTGGGTGAGTGAGTGAGTGAGTGGGTGAGTGAGTGGGTGGGTGAGTGAGTGAGTGAGTGAGTGAGTGGGTGGGTGAGTGGGTGAGTGAGTGGGTGGGTGAGTGAGTGAGTGAGTGAGTGGGTGAGTGAATGAGTGGGTGAGTGAGTGGGTGAGTGAGTGAGTGGGTGAGTGGGTGAGTGAGTGGGTGAGTGAGTGAGTGAGTGGGTGAGTGAGTGGGTGGGTGAGTGAGTGAGTGAGTGGGTGAGTGAATGAGTGGGTGAGTGAGTGGGTGAGTGAGTGAGTGGGTGAGTGAGTGGGTGAGTGAATGAGTGGGTGAGTGAGTGGGTGAGTGAGTGAGTGGGTGAGTGAGTGGGTGAGTGAATGAGTGGGTGAGTGAGTGGGTGAGTGAGTGGGTGAGTGAGTGGGTGAGTGGGTGAGTGAGTGGGTGAGTGGGTGAGTGAGTGGGTGAGTGAGTGGGTGGGTGAGTGAGTGAGTGAGTGGGTGAGTGAATGAGTGGGTGAGTGAGTGGGTGAGTGAATGAGTGGGTGAGTGAGTGAGTGAGTGGGTGAGTGAGTGAGTGGGTGAGTGAGTGGGTGAGTGAGTGAGTGGGTGAGTGAGTGGGTGAGTGAGTGGGTGAGTGGGTGAGTGGGTGAGTGAGTGGGTGGGTGAGTGAGTGAGTGAGTGAGTGAGTGGGTGAGTGAGTGGGTGAGTGAGTGAGTGGGTGAGTGGGTGAGTGAGTGGGTGAGTGGGTGAGTGAGTGGGTGGGTGAGTGAGTGGGTGAGTGGCCCATGCAGAGATCTGGACCCAGGTCCTCCTTCCCCCTACTCCCGGGGACACAGAGCTCATGTCCCCAGAGTCTGCCTCTAGGCCCGGCAGCTGACAGATGTGGGTGAGGGACCGGAGATCTGGCTGGAGGGCGGGGACAGGCGTCCCACCCTGCAATCAGAGGAGGCCTCCCAGCAGAGGCGGGGCTTCAGCAAAGACCTGGCACCGAGGGCTTCTGGGGGGCCACCCCTCACTCCCCACTGAGGCCTGACTCTAGGCCCCAGCACTCACGCCCCTGAGGCTTGATGTCGGGGTGTGGAGGGAGGAGGAGGGTGGGGCGCGGGGAGGCCAGGAGTCAGCACCGCCACCCTCCACTCAGGATGACATTCACTGATGCCTGTGGGTGAGTCCTGCTGCTGGCTGTGCCTCAGTTTCCCCACCTGCCCAGGGCGGGGCGGGCGGAATGCCCTTTGAGGCTGTGTCCGGTGGGAGGGGTGCGCGGAGAGTCACTGGGTGTGGGTCCTCAGGGCCCTGCCAGGGGAGGAAGCAGGCCCTCCTCCCCCGGACCCCTCTGGCCTGCTCACCCTGACCAGCGTCCCAGGAGTTGGGAGGCGAGTGGGGGCCTGGCAGGGAGTGGTGGGGGGTCCCAGCACCCCAGAGCCTGTTCTGGGCCCCGGTAGGGAGCCCCCAGGGCTGCCGCGGGCTGCTGGGGTTTCAGGGTCATCGCAGAGCATTCCCTTGGGCGTCTTGGGGCTCCAGAGACTGCGCAGATGGGGGTCCCCTTGCCCTTTATTGGAAACCCCCTTGACCTGCGGGCAGAGAAATGGGGGGGCCTCTACCAGGCCCTCGGGGTGGGGACAGGAACCTGCGCTTGCAGGTGCCCCCAAAGCCCCAGCCCCACCCGACCCCCACCCGGTCTCTCTCTGAGCACCGGGGTCCGGGTGGCTGGGCTGGCCGTCCTGGGGGGTGGCGGCCGGCGGTGGACCCGGCCTCCGACACTCACAGCTCTGCCAGTGGGACGTGTGGCCCACCCCACTCCCGTTAACGCACCCCGGCTCCCCTCGCCAGGGTCCCCAGAAATGGAATTAAGTAGCGACTCCGAGGACGTTGGTCCCAGGAGGGGCCCCGGCTCAGCCTGGGCTGGGCGTCCAGGCATCTGCTACAGGACAGGTGGCTCCTGGGTCCGGCAAGGGCCTGATAGTGGCCCTCCCGGGGCCTGTCTGTCGGGCGGGTCACCCGCATCAGGGGCTGGTCTGGTCTGATTAGACCGCAGCCACCACACTTGATCAGGTTTGCAGCCCCGCAGATGAAAGAGGCACACGAACCAGGGGCACAGGTGCGACGGGCAGCTGAGGGGCCGGGGCAGACTCCTCTAGTCAGTCCCCGTCGGGGGCGCTGGGGGAGGGGGCTGGGCTGCCTCCCTGGAACCCCCAGCGTGCCCCCTGGGTGTGGGGGGGCCTCCCACTGCAGGCCTGCCCACACACGCCCCAGCTCTGGGGGGGGCCCTGGTGCTGGGAAGGCCGGGAGGGGAGCTCCCCTGGGAGACTCGGGGCTCGCTGGGGGGAGGCTCCGGGCCGGGCCAGGCCCCCTTCCGTCCCTCTTCTCTGTTGTTCAAGGGCACCTGTCCCTATTCCCGCCGCGGTGTCCCCCCGCCCCACCTCCGCCCCAACCTACTTTGGCTTTGCCCGTGGGGCCCCGACAGATGTTCCTGACGACCCTTCCCCTCTTCCCCCGCCCCGTCAACCCCCCTCCCCCTCTGGTCATTGTCAGTGTGTTCTTCTTTTTTTTTTTTTTAATTTTACTTATTTATTTTTAGAGAGGGAAGGGAGGGAGAGAGAGAGAAAGAGAGAGAAACATTAATGTGCAGTTGCTGGGGGTCATGGCCTGCAACCCAGGCATGTGCCCTGACTGGGAATCGAACCTGCGACACTTTGGTTCGCAGCCCGCGCTCAATCCACTGAGCTACGCCAGCCAGGGCTTGTCAGTGGGTTCTTAATTTCCATGTCTCTGCTTATGTTTTGCTCGCTTGTCTGTTTTGCTGATTAGGTCCCACTTACAGGTGAGATCATACGCTATTTGTCCCTTACCTCCTGGCTTATTTCACTTTGCACCATGCTCTCCAGCTCCGGGGGCAGGGCTGACCCGGCCCCGCCCCTCCAGGGACAGGTGGGAGTGTGTACGTGGTGGGAGACCCCAGGTGCTCCACGGTGACAAAGTGCCCCTCCCCTGGTGGGGGGCGCCAGGCTCCAGTGTTTGGGGAGAGTGGCTGTACGAGAGTTGGGCACCGGTGGACAGGGTCCAGCAGCCCCAGGTAGAGGTGGACACAGAAGGACAGAGGACTCTGGCCAGTGGGGGAGCTGCGGATGAGCACCCTGGGGAACTGGGAACCTCAGAGCGACGAGGGACATGCAGATGTGCTTTGGGGGGGGCACCCACATCTACTGGAAACTCGGGGCAGCACGTGGGCTGGAGAGGGGCTGGGGAACTCTGCCGAGCACGAGGAGGGAGCTGTGCTAGTTCCGCCCCTGCCCCAGCTTCCTCCCCACCCCCCTCCCCCCCCCCACCGCCCCCCCCGACCTCCTGCCCCCTGCTTCCGCACCACATTGCACTCCCTAACCCTCACACACACCCTGCCCTTTGTCTGGGGGTCCTAGCCCTCCACACTGCGGGCCTGGCCCGGACCCAGAGGCTTTCGGCCCTGAAGAGTAAACAGTAAACTCGTTGCGTACTTTCACTTTCGTTTCAAAGAAGCGGGAAGGAGGAAGGTCATGGTGCTGGTTCTCCTAGCAGGGGTCCCCAGGCCGACGTGGGGGAATGAGGGGCCTTAAGGGGGGACATGGACCTACTACAAGCCTGGGAGCTGCCCCGCTGGAGCCTGGAGCCCACGGCTGATGCCCTGCGTCTCGTGAGTCACCCTGAGCCTCACCCCCACCCCCCGCCACCCTGCTGCCCCAGAGCCCCAGGCCTGCCGGCCTCGGCGCCTGCCCGGAGCCCTGTCCCTGCTCCCTCGCTGAGCCCTGTCACACGGGACAGTGTCCCCCAGCAGCCCCTTGGGCTCTTGGGGGTCCCTCTTGGGCCGTCCCTGCTTCTGACGCTCAGTTCCCTGACCCCCGGGGGGCCGAGGGGACAGGCAGCAAAGCCATATCCCTCCTCCTAGGAACTTTCCTCTGCGGACCGCCCACCCCCCCGCGCCCCGCCTTACTCAGGCGCTGAAGATGAGCGCCCAGCCCCCCTCGGGGTGAGCCCACTGGCACGAGTGTCTGGGCAGGAGCCCTGGGGGGGCTGGTCTTCGCCCAAGGCGGGCAGCCAGGTGCGGGCCGAGTGTTAGCCCGCTTGTGTGGGGAGCGTGCCGCCCCCTGGCCTGCGTGGCTTCTGGGGGGTGAACTGGAATGTTTTCTTTTGAAGATTGATATCCGTTTTTTAGATTCAGAAATAGGGCAGGAAGAGACAGGAACTTGGAGAGACAAACAAGTGGTTGCCTCTCGCTCGCCCCCTACTGGACGGAGACCTGGTCTGCCACTGGGCCTGTACTCTGACCCGAGGTGTACGCGCTGGGCAGGGAGGCTGCCGCCCTCCTTGGTTGTGTGGTTTCTGGGTCAGCCCCGTGGTCACCCCTTGGGACAGGATGGCCTCCTCATAGCCAAGGCCTCGGACAGCCTGTGTCCCTGCTCTGCCCCCAGGGCCCCACGGGTGTGGCAGGAAAAGAAAACTCCAAAAGTTTCTTGTGCTCTGTAACTGTGACACTTGCAAAGTTTCACACAGGAGAGGATTGGTGCTCAGAGGATTTGGATGTTAGCCACCCCCTCTGGGCCCCCGGGTAATAAAGTTTGTGCTTCATTATCTCCCCGCGTGTGGGTGGATTTTCCACAACATGGGTCCAGCACAGACAGGCCTGCAGGAGGCCTGGAGGTCGTTTGGGCCAGTGGAGCTCTGGCCGTCCCTCGGGTAGAGGGCGGGGTACCCACCCTAGTGAGCAGAGGGGCAGAGGCCAGTGATGGGGTGGCCCACCCCAGCTCTTGGGGCCGCCCAGGGACCCCGACGGGCAGCTCCCCGAGCCTGTCCTGGGGCCCCCGCCTGCCGCCCCGGTGGGGTGAGGCTGCTGGCGCCTGTGTCCCTGAGGGGGAGGCTGAGGCCCCCGCAGTCCAGGTGGTGCCTCTGCCCCAGCATCTGGTCCATCTCCCACAGGCCATGGTCCTTGTTTTCCTGGCGTGCCCCCACTATGCCCTGGTGATGGCCTCGTGTAAACTGGATGAGTACCCGGTGTGGGACTACTGTTGCCCCAAGTGCCGGCCAGGTGGGTGCAGCCCTGCGGGACCCTGTGTGAGGGCCGGGACCCTCGTTGCCAGCACCCAGCATCATGGGAGGCACGAAGGCCCCGCAGGGGCAGAGAGGGGCATCGGGGAGGCCCGACCCCAGGGCACCCCTGCAGCTTCTTCCCCTTCCCACCTGAGACCCTCTGCTGGCGGCACAGGGGGCGTGGGCAGGTGGGTGGGGGGGCTGCCCACGCTTGGCCAGAGGACTGGGTCTCGGAGTGAGGCCTCGGAGTCCAAAGCAGACTCGCATTCTTGCAGAACATGCTCGCTCCTCCCCGCCCCACTCCCTGAGGCCTGGGGAGCTGCCCGGCCCCCGAGGGCCGTCCCGCCCTCAGCTCCTCAGCCCCTCAGCGTGTGGCCTCCCCGGGATGCAGGTTACCGGGTCAAGGAGGCCTGCAGGAGCTCCAAGTCCACGCTGTGTGTGCCCTGCGCTGCCGGGACCTTCACGGCCCACCTGAACGGCCTGGACGAGTGTCTGCAGTGTCGTGTCTGCGACCCAGGTGAGGGGCCCCCGGCCTGGGGCAAACCGCCACCCTGGGGTCCCTCCTCAGGCTGAGCACTGGACCCTGGCCCTTCTCCCTGGCCCCCGGAGGAAGGCCAGGACGAGAGCAGAGGCCGTAACGCTTTGGGGTTCAGTGAGGTGCGGGCAGCCCACGCTGCAACCATGGGCCCCGCAAGGGCACGCCGGGCTGCACTGAGCTGGGGTCAGAGGGCACGGCGCCGCCCTTCAGGAGGACGCCCCTGCCCCACCTCGGGCCCAGGGGCTCTCACCGTCCGGCCGCTGCCGTGCCACCAGCCTGGGAGCAGGCCGAGGACCTGGCTGAGGGGCGGCCTCCGGGTGGATGGACCGGGGCTGGGGCGGGCCCTGGGCTGCGCCCCATCGCACACCGGTTCCCACTGTTGGGGACCGGGCTGGGAGGTCTCGGTCTCCCCAAGACCCCTGGACCCTGTTGAGGAGACCCTCCGGCCATCGCCCCTGCTGTGGGCCTTCCCCGGCCTGCCGCCGGCCTCGGGGGCCCCGGGCCCCGCTTCGGGGCTCACGCTCTGCGTGTGGACCCCCCAGGGCATGTTCCGGCTGCGCCTGGGGCACGCCTGGCCGGGCCCCTGCAGGGAGCCCCGTTGCCTGGGGTCCCGACCGCCCCCCCTCAGAGCCCAGGCGGCAGCCCCCCACCTGCAGGCGCCCTCCAGCCCTCCGCTGGGTCTCCTCTGGGCCGGGCCCTGCCGGCCGCGCCCGGCGCAGCCCGCGGCCGCCCTGAGCTCCTTCTCCGGGCGCAGACATGGGCCTGGTGACCAGGCAGAGGTGCTCCAGCACGGCGAACACCGAGTGCGGCTGCGCCCGGGGCCACTTCTGCGTGTCCCACGACGGGGACCAGTGTGCCGAGTGCAGGCCCCACAGCGTCTGCGGGCCAGGCCAGCAGGTGCAGGCGGCAGGTGAGCCCCAGCCCCGCCGCGGAGACAGGCCCCGCCCAGGGCTCCGGGGGTCCCGGGAGCCCCCGCCGACGTTCTCCTCTCTCAGGCACCGAGCACCAGGACGTGGTGTGTGAGGACTGCCCGCCCGGCACCTTCTCTCCCAACGGGACCCTGGCAGCGTGCCAGCCCTGGACCCAGTAGGTGACCCTGGGGTGGCCTGGGAGGGGGCTTCTCGGTGCTCCCCTGGGAGATGAGGGCCCTCCCCCAGCAGACGCCGGGCCCGCGCTGCTCGCGCTCTTAAATCTGGCGGCTCCCCCACAAACGGCACCTTCTAGGGCCGGGAGCCCAGGGGTGCTGCCCCCAGGGACCCGAAGACCTGCGGTCTGGGGTGTCCCCCAGGTCAGGTTCAGGGGCTTCCCTGCCGCCCCAGTGTCGGGGAGGCGTGGGGGGGCGCCCACAGTGAGGTCCGCGCCCCCTGCGGCGGGGGGCCCTGGATGCCCCAGTCTCTGGGGGGAGGCTGGGGGGGCGCCCACAGTGAGGGGGGGCGCCCACAGTGAGGGGGGGGCAGGTGCGTCTGCCCCAGGGGGACCGGGGCCCTCTGTCTCCACGCTGCCCGTCTCCCTCTTGTCCCCACTCCCTTAGACTGTCCCGTTGCGTCCATCCACCCCCTCCCCCCGCAGGTACACTTCTCTACGTCCTTCTCCTGACCCCTCCTTGTCCCCTTCTCAGGTCTGTCTTCTTGTCCGTGGCACTGGCTTCGACAGCCTTCCATCCCTGACACCAGCTCTGTCTTCACCCTCTGTCACCTCCGCTGCTGTCCCTCTCTCCTGTGGACTGTGTCTGTGCCCCCTCGGCTGTCCTGCCTCTTCCTCCCGCACCCCCACCCCGCGTCCCACGGACCTGGGGTCCCCCCAGAGCCGATCCCTCACCAGTACCCCCGGGCCGCTGCCTTCGCGCCCGTCAGCCGGGCTGGGGTGGAGCGCCCTCGCGTCCCGGCGAGCGTCGGCCGGGAGGGACCCGTGCCCGCTGCCCCACGTCCCCACCGCTCCGCTCCCCTCCCCTAGGTGCAGTGGCCCGTTTGAGAGGCAAGAGAAGCCTGGGACCCGCAGCACGGACGCCAGGTGCTCCTCCTGGGCACCGTGGCTCCTCCTGCCCCTGCTCCTGGTCGTGCTCCCTGTCCCCTGTGTGATAGCCACAGTCGTCTGGCTCAGGAGGAGGCGTCTCCGTGGTGAGCGGCAGCCCCCGGTCCTCTTGGGGTGCAGGTCCCTGGTCTTGTTTCCCAAATTGGCGGGCTGGCAGGGAGGGTGTGACATCTTCTCTGCAGAGCCCCGTGCCACACTGGTGGCCCACACTACCTTGGACCCCGAAGTATGGGCACCCATGTCCCGCCTGCCCTCAGAGGACAGAGAAGCTCAGGGATGGGCTGGGAGGCCCGAGGGTCCTTTGTCCCCTCCCTCACCGCTGTCCCCCCACCCCTGCCCTGGACGCAGAGCCCTGTGCCAGGCCCGGAGCCTGAGCCGGCAGGGGGAGCAGGCACCGAGCAGAGACGGGCGCAGGGGGAGGTGGGCGGGTGCAGGGGCTGCTCTCAAGTCGGCCCTGGGTCCTCGCCCGGGAGGTGTCAGGGCCCAGACTGCGAGCCGCCGGGCGGCCACCTTTCTTGCCCGGCCCCCGGCCCCTGCTCCCCTGGGCTCAGCCAGTGCCCTGGCTGGTGGCCACACTGGGCTGAGCTAGGGACCGGGTCTGGCCGCCGGGACGTGGCAGGGTGCCCTGTCTTTCACCGGCGGTGGCCCCCCAGAGACAGGCGGGGGCCGGGAGCCGGGGCCGCACTGGTCCCGCCTGTCTGCCAGAGGCTCAGTGCCCCGGGCAAGTGCGCGGGGCAGCCAGGACTCTCGGTCCCCTGGCTGTGTGGCTCCTCCTGACACACCTGTCTCTTTGGCAGGAGGATTCGTCCAGAAGTGCTGCCTCTCTCAGGTAGTGCTGCTCGTCCCCACGCGGGTGGTGGCATCGCCGGGCGGCTTGGGGTCCTGGTTCGCTGCAGGTGCCTAGTCCTCAGCGAGCAGGCTCTAACCCGGGGGGCGGGGCCCCAACTCCTCCTGCTGGGGACCCCTCGGGCGAGCACCCCGGGGTGGGGGGTGGGGGTCTGGGCCGGCCACAGGGTCTGCAGCTGAAGGTACCTTGCAGGGCAACAGACGGCAGGACGACGAAAACGCCGCAGCCGTCCAAACCCTGGGGATCACCCAGGTCCTGCCCGATGTCACCACGGTGGCTGTGGAGGAGACGGCCTCCATGTTCCCCAAGACAGACCCGACCGCCGACCAGTGGCCGCAGGGCGCAGCCACTTGAGCGACCCCCCAGGGCCTTCTGAAGCCGCCGGTCTCCAAGGGCTGAGCGCCGGCCGTGGGGCCTCGGGGATGCACTGCCGGGAGGCCAGCCCTGGACAGGATTGGGGGACGCCTGCAGCAGCCCAGGGGTGCCGGGGTCCACGGTGGCCCGCCCACCACTCTCCTGAGGGGCCCTGAGCCCTCCCCTCACCCCTGCACCCTTCCGACGCCCCCATGGACACTCTTGGTGCCCCACCAGCCTGCCTCCAGCCCCGTGACCCCCAGCTCCTCAGGGGTACGAAACCCCTGAGAGGTATTTCCAAGTCGAGGTGTTCTACTTTTCTTATTGGCCAATACAAGTTGGTGCCTGCTCTGGGAGTGTGTAGCCCCGCCCCTGCCAGGCCTCCGGAGGTGCCCGGGGAGGCGGGGCGGGGCGGGGCGCGGGCGGAGGAGGGGCTCTGAGGCTGCGCGCGCCCGCTGCTCGCTCCTGGGCGATCCCCCACCGACTCTCTCGCCCGCGCAGCGATTCCCTGGACGGGGCCTTCCTCGCGTCCACGCGCTCGTGTGTTGATACCGCCACGGCCTCCTGGTTTTCCGTGTCAGTCCCTGGGTTCCTGTTGGCTCTGCTGCTGAAAGGCCCCCGACGTTTCCTGCGGGGTCCCTTTCCGCGGGCTTCTTCGGCCGTGTCCCCGTGATGTCCCGCGCGCCGCGGGCTCCGCCGCCCCCCGCCCCAGCTCCAGGCCCAGCGTCCCTCCGGCCAGCCCGGCGGTTTCTCCGGAGAGCGGTGTTGAGGAAACCGCCTTCGTGGGCTGGGCGGGCCCACGGTCACTAGGGGGTCGGCTTCACCTCTGTGGCGGCCTCGCGGGCAGCACCACGCGTCCATCCGCGGGCTTCGCTTCCCGGCGGCCCTTTTCGTGGGCGGAGCCTGCGTCCTCGGGTCCCCGCGGCCGCCCTGGACAGGTCAGGCCTTCGGCCCGGGGAAGCGCCAGGGGCCCGAAGACAGGCCTGGGGCGCGGGTGACGAGGGTCCGTGGGGTCCCGGGGGAGCCCGGCCTGGAGGGGTCGGGCCGGCCCTTGCGTCTGGTGGGGGCCCATGGCTTCCCAGGAGACGGTGTCCTCCGTCCCGCCACCGGGTTTGGGAGGGTGGTCGGAGACTTGGACGGAACAGGCGGGTCTGCCCGCGGGAACTCCACTGCGACAACCCTCAGGCGCCCCTGCTGGGGGTGGGGTTGTTTTGGCCCAGTTGGCACCCCCCACCCCCCACCTACCCTCAGGGGCGCACTGTGCCTCCCCACCTCCCAGGTGCAGCCCCCACCTCCCAGGCCCCCTCCACGGGTGCCCTCTGGTCAGAGTGGGTCCGGTGACCCTCTCGGCCTCCCCGCCATGCACCCCTGGTCTGGGCCTCGATGACCACAGTGGCCTCCTGGGGGGCCTCGCTGCCTGCCCCGCCCACTCCCCGCAGGACCCAGCCCTCCTCCTCCTCAGCCGTCATTGAAAGCTCGGGGCAGCTGGCTGGCGTAGCTCAGCGGATTGATCGCGGGCTGCGAACCAAAGTGTCCCAGGTTCGATTCCCAGCCAGGGCACATGCCTGGGTTGTAGGCAGTGACCCCCAGCAACCGCACACTGATGTTTTTTTCTCTCTCTCTCATCTCCCTCCCTTCCCTCTCTAAAAATAAATATTTTTTTAAAAAGGCACTTTTATAAAAAAAAAAGCTCGGGGCAGGCGAGGGCGTCTGCTGGTGGTCCGGTCTCTCCGCTGGCTCCCAGGCCCACTGACCCCGAGCCCAGCTCCTGGCTGTGGCTCCGCGGTCCCCTCCGCGCCCTCTGACCTCGGCTCCGTCCTGCTCGTAGCTCTCCTCCCGAATGTGCGGTCCCCGAGGGCTAAGGGCCACCCTTTGGGGACATCCTTACCACTGCTGTGACCCCTGCACAAAGACCTAGGGTGGGGGTGCTTGTCAGGAGCACCCCTCCCTCCCAGGAGCACCCCGCCGTCTCCCCCCTCGGCGGCTGTCTTGCCGGAGGCCGCCGGCGGTCAGCGGCGGATCGGGGCGCAGGGGCGGGCAGAGCGAGCGCTCGGCCTCCAGGCAGGCAGCCCACCCGCGCGCGGCCCGGAAGCACGAGGAAGCGGATCTCTTTGAAGCGTTTACTCAGCTCGAGTCTGAAGCTCGTGGACTCGGGGCGGCGACGCGCTTTCAGCGGGGGCTCAGTGCGCGTGCGGGGCCGAGGTGGGTGGCGCGAGCTCTCGCGGCGGCCGTGCGTGGGGCGGGGCTCCCTCACCCCTGGGTGTCCGGGGCGGGACCTCCGCTCCAGGCCCCGCACGGTGCTGGCCGACCCGGTGCGGGGTGCAGGCAGGTCCCCATGGCCGCACCGTCTCTGGCCGCACCGTCTCCGGGCGGCGGGGATGCCTGGGACCGCGGGTGGGCGAGGGCCGCGCTGCGGCTCGGCCTCGGCTACCAGACGCGGCACCGCACCTCGGGGTGCATGGGGGTGCCGCGGGCACAGTGGAAGGTGTTGGCGAAGGCGGCCAGGTTCTGCAGGGAGCCCAGCACCCTGTGGGCAGAGGGAGGGGCCTGAGGTTGCCAGCCGTGCGGAGGGGCGGGGGCGCGGGGGCGCGGGGGCGCGGGGACCGCTTGCCTGTACTTTAGGGGACTGTGGACATCGGTCTTGATGGACTGGACCGCGAACTCCGGCCGGTAGGACCCGCACCACACCTGTGAGCGCAGGAGGGACAGGCTGCGGGGCTGGGGCAGAGGAGGCCCCGGGGCTGGGTGTTGGAGGAGGGGCTGGAGGGGACCTGGCCCGGAGGGCGGGGCGGGGAGAGTGGGCGGGGCCGGGAGCCTGCCGTTCCCTCCCCGCCCTCCTCGGCCTCCTCTCAGCTCTTCCCGCCTTCAGCCCCCGCCCCCCAGCCTTTCGTCCTGGGAGCCTTCCAGGTCAGTTAGCTCCGGTTCTCCCTGGCTTGCCCGCCCACGGTGTGCCCCTCCCCGCGACCGTGGGCACCCTCCGAAGATGGGAGAGGGGAGCCACCTTGGGGGCGGGTGGGAAGGGGCTTCGTGGCTCCCACCTGGGCGTAGCTGATGAAGAAGATCTGGTCGAGGGTCAGCTCCAGTCCTGGCAGCTGCCGGTCCCTGCCGCCTTCTGCCCTCCACTTGAGGTAGGCCTGCGGGCACCGGCCGGGGCTGGGCACCGGCTGCGGGCCGGGCCTGCGCGTGCCCCCCACCCCCAGCGCCGGCTGCCTGGCCCGAAGGAAGGTCCGGCCCCAAGGCCGCGGAGGGCCCTGCGCGCACCCCAGGGAGGGGCCTCGCACCTTCACGACGCGGTGCCAGCCGGTCGCCCACGCAGGCTGAGCTCTGCGGAGGCCCCCTGCCCAGGAGGCCCTCACTGGGCGCCGCCTGGACGGGCTCCCGACGCCCACAGGGCGCCAGGGTGCACGTGGGCTCGGGCAGGGGGCAGGGGGCAGGTCCTGTCGGCCTGAGGGCCCCGCCCCCACCTCCGGGACCCACCTTGTACGCCTGCCGCACCCCTCCGTTGTCAGCGATGTTCTCCCCGAGGGTGCTGAACCCGTTCACCTGCACGCGGGAGACAGGACGGCGGGCAGCGGGCGGCGGCCGGGCTCCCCGCCCCTCCCCGGCGCAGCGGCGGCCCTGGCGGCGGCCGACTCACGTTCTGCTGCTCGGCCAGGTCCCAGGAGTAGTTCCCGTACTGGTAGACCATGCACTCCGACCGCGCCTGGAAGTGCTGCGCCGAGAAGTTACTCCACCAGTCCAGCATGTTGCCGCTCTCGTCGAAGTTCCGGCCTGGGGGCGGGGCGCGAGGCGGGCGGAACGTGGGGCCGCGCCGCGGCAGCCGGGGCCGCCCCCGCGTGTCCGCCAGGGCCCCAGCGTCCGAGCCCGTGTTCGTGAGCAGCGGATGGGCCCCGAAGGGCACCGGCCTGCTCCGAGGGGTCGGCACACATTGTCACGGGACAAGGGCTCAGGCCCTGGGGGGGAGGGGCTTCGGTGGCCTCCCACGGCGCCCTGGAGGTCAGGGCGTGGAGTCTCGGGTGGGCCCCAGGGCCCCAGAGGTGCTGTGGCCCAGTGAGCCCCCGCACTGAGGGGCGTGGTCCCAGGGCAGGGGCTGCCCTCGTAAGGTGCCCGCGGTCAAGCTGCCTCCCTGGGCTGCAGCTGTAGACCCCGTGCTTGCGGACCAGCCACCAGAACCAGGCAGGGGGCCCCGCCCAGAGGAAGGAGGTCAGCGTGGAGGCTGCCGGCTGCCCTGGGCTGGCGCCCAGCTGGCTCCATCCTGGGCCAGGACTGGGAGCTCCAGCACGCCCTGGGCAGTGTCGCTGTCCTCGGTTCACGGGCCCAGGGAGGGGCGGCAAGCGCGGCGGGTCGGGCCCTCCACCCCTCTGCCTCCGGCCAGGGGCCGAGCCTGCCGTCGGAGCCCCCTCTGCCACCGTAGCTCTCCTGGGGGCCTGGCAAGGCCCTTCCAGTCCTCAGAGCTCCCACCCGACCACACAGGGGGTGGGCCAGGGTCAGCCCCAGGGCCCCCCCTCGGGGATCCCAAGGTGCAGTCCCCTTCCGGACCTGCTCCGTGGGGGGGCCGTGGGACTCGGGCCGTGGCTCTGACCCCACCGAGCCCCTTACCGTTGTCGTCGAAGCCGTGGGTGATCTCGTGCCCGATCACCATCCCAATTCCCCCGAAGTTCAAGGCCTGGGGCTGCTCCTTGCTGAAGAAGGGGGGCTGCAGGATGCCCGCGGGGAACACTGCGGGGGGGGGCGGGGACAGAGGAGGAGCTGTGAGCCCGCCCGCCCGCCCGCTGTGTGCCCGGACCTCGGGGTGGGGGGGGGTCCTGTCCTCTCCTCCCGCAGCCCGGGAGGTAGGGGTGGGGCCTCGCACCCACTTCACAGACGGGAACTCCGAGGCTCGGAGCCCAAGGGCAGCGCTGGGGCGTGGCGGGTCCAGGACCCGAGTCAGGACGCCCCACACCTTTCCCTGCTGTCCTGCCCTCTGACACCCTCCCCTCCCTGACACCCACACGGGGGACAGTGTGAGGTTCCCGCAGGCGGGACGGATGGCACCTTCTCCCCCCCAGAGATGGGGGGGCGTTGCCCCCGGAGGAAGGGCCAGCCGCCCCCCGGGGCTCACCTCTGGCATCAGAGGGAGGAGGGGGCAGGTCTTACCGATCTGGTTCCGGTTCGGAGAGTAGAACGCGTTGACCACGGCGGCCCCGATGATCCAGCTGGGAGAAGCGAGCCGGTCGCTCGCAGTCCCCGCCCCCAGCGACCCTCCCTCCGGGCCACCCCTGCGCCGGCCAGAGCCCACCCCGAGGGCCCAGGTCGCAGCGGCACGCACCCACTGCCCACGGCCAGGGCCTGGCCCCGACGCCTGGTGCCTC